ATTCAACCTGAAGAGGGAATTATGGCAGCCTTATTTCCCAGAACTTGCTGCTTTTTGTCAGATAAGGGATGCTCTGAGAAGGCTTCTTTCTGCATCTGTTGCTTCCCAGTTACCTTCAGTTCAAAATAATCCTTATGCTAAAGTGATATGTTTTAGAGTGGCATATTCTGATGCCCTTTAAGCTCTAAGCCCGACGTGACTGTATTTGGAGATAGGGCCCATAAGAAGATAATTAACGTTAAATGGGGTCATAAGGGTGGGACCCTAATCTAATAGGATTATTGTCCTTATAAAAGAAGGAAGAGATCCCCAGATGACCAGAGGCCCCCCCCAACCCCAGCCCCATGCACTCAGTGAAGAGGTCCTATGAGCTACAGCAAGATGGCGGCCACCTGCCATTCAAAGGGAGCGTTCTCATCAGACACCAATCCTGCCAACACCTCGGTCTTGGACTTCTAACCTCCAAAGCTGCAAGAAAATAGATTTCTGTTGTTTAAGTCACCTGGTCTGTGGGATTTTGTTATGGCAGCCCAAGGACAAAGACTAAAATAGTCTTCAAGAGCCAAAGAGATAAAGTTTAAAAAATGGTAGAATTGTAGATTGAGTGTGTGATAGGTTGAGTGTGTGATAGATTGAGGTCGGAACCTGGACTGACTGACATACCACAAAATAAGATAATGGGAGAAAGCAGGCACTTTATGAACATCTAAGGCCAACCCTAGTGAGATACCTCAATTTTTGTCAAGAGTCAAAACAACTGAGAGAAATTTGCAAATCATACACGTGTTTCTGAAAGATAGGAGTTGCATTCTTTGAAGTCCTACCCTCTGCTGGACTTTTCTGCCAGAAATCACGTCAGCCTGGTTCAAGGTAGAGTGTTACCTGCCGATGAGTCCAGATTTTGGACGCCAGCCTGAGAGCCTCCTGTTCATTCTTTTCATTGAGCCCTGATGGGGGTGAGGGCTGCCGAAGGACCCTAATCAGATGCATGCTCTCGTCTGGAAATGATTAAAGTCCTAAGGACAGATAGAAGCCATGTTGATAGCATTAATTGGTTCCTTATTTCTGAGTTGGGCCTGCTTCATTGTTTAAGATTCCACTCTAATTTGTTGGGATTTTCTCTTCGGCATTGTAAAAAGCAAACTTATTTTGCTGGATGAGAACAGACCCTTTTAAACCGGGCTTTGAAGTTTGCAGCTTTGTAACGTGTCAGCCTTCTGAAAGCTTCTGCTCTCTTGCCAGCTCAAACCGACCCACAGCCACGATTAGCATATCAAAGAGTGGGGGCGTCCTGATGGGGGCTGCAGGAGGGGCGCTCGGGCCCACGTTTGGGATGTAAGGAGATACAGGGCTTTGCTAACACGCGCCCTGCTGCCAGGGTGGTTCCTCATTTCACCTTTAATTCCATTTCCTCTCTTCTTTCAGTTGTGCACTTTTGACAATTAAACACGAACATGCGCACGCATGCGCGCGCGCACACACACACACACACACACACACACACACACTCCTCCCTGAGAGACAATAAGAAATTAGAAATGAAAAAAAAAAGAAAGAAAAGGAAAGGGAGGCATTTTAAGGGAGATTAAACCCTATTTTCTTCTCATCCCTTTTTAAAATCCCAAAACTCCCACAGATAAATATGCTAAGTTCTCAACAGCTATTCTAGAATCTATGTTTAGACTAATTGCTGGGTTAAAAGAAAAAAAAAAACCCTTCACGAAGGTTGGGGAAGCAATTTAGGCTAAATTTTACTATTGCTCTGAGGTGCTGATCCGAAATCATCACAACCGTTAATAGCCGAACTGAGCCTGGACGGCCTGGCCATCCTTACCTAACGGAGACTGGCCCTGGCCAGGAAATCATCCCCAGGAGAGGACTGCCTCTGTGGTTTGACTAGAGAGGCCCCCCAAGGGATGTGCAGATGCAGGTGATTTTGCATACAGACAGCAAGAGAGGAGAGAAAATTAACAGAAACTAAAGATTCCCAAGATGATATGGAAATGTACAAAAGGCTACAGAACTCACATGAGGAATCCAAGCAAGATCCCTGTAATGAGCTGATTTTGAAAGAAAATGATTTGGATGCTTTTCATGTTAAAAATATACACAAGTGAGTGAAATGGGTGAAGGGGGTCAAAAGGTACAAACTTCCACTTATAAATAAGTCCTGGAGATGTAATGTACAGTGTGGTGACTATAGTAAGCCACAGTGTATTGCATATATGAAAGTTGCTAAGAGAGTAGATCTTAAAAGTTCCCATCACAAGAAAAAAAATTTTAACTATGTATCATGATGGATGTGAATTCACTGTGGTGATCACTTCACCATGTATACATACATCCAAGCATTATGTTGATAATACAGTGAAACCAATACAGTGGTATATGTCCATTATATCGCAATAAAAAAAGAAAAGAAAAACAGAGAGAGAGAAAAAAAGTATATACAAGGTGGATCTGTCTTCTTGGGAACTAAATTACATAACTCAAAAAAATCCTAAAATAAGTAAGAGTAATATAGCAACATATTACTTGATTCCCGAAGTTTCAACTTCACTCCTTGAATTAAATAAATCAGGAAAGAAATTCTTCAAAATATTGGTAGCAGAGATGTTTGGGTAGATTGTAGATTGTTTTATTGTGTTTTTTATACTTTTCCTGTATTTCTCAACTTTTTCTGCAATGGGCATGTATTTTACATAAAAAGCAGCACATTATTAATAAATGTCATGGGCTACATTTGGAATTTGGGGAATGGCTGTCTTTCCACTGATACACAAGTTATGGATACAATAGAATTTAAACTAGAAAGAACTTTGTGTGACTATTTCTCCCTCTCAATTTGAAAGTGAAGTTACTTCGGAATGGGGAGGTTAAATCCAAGGTCGTGTAGCTAGTCCCAAGAGCTCAGAGTTTAGAGCAGAGCTGTCCAGTCCAGGAGCTACCGGACACTGGCTGCTCCTGTATGCAGCTAGTCTACACTGAGATGTGTTCTAAGTGTAAGACAGACATTGGTTTTTGGAGAATCTTTTTCTCCAGGTATGAAAAAATTTAAAAGATCGCACTAATCTATATTGGTTACCTATGGAAATGATGGATTTTGGATATGCTGGGCTAAAACTAATTTAGCCTGTTTCTTGTCATTCATTTTGGTGTGGCTATTAGAAAATTTATAATTACATATATGGCTCCCATTATATTCCTACTGGTGTAGAATACAAGTCTGATTCTCACTCCAGTGTTCTCTCTGCACACTTGTACTTTGAAATGGAGACTGTCAAAGGGTAAATTTACTTCTTCTCTCCTAGAATTAGGTAGTGAAGCATGACTGAAAGTGACAGTGTTATGAATGATTTGATAATTTTGCGTTTTGTTGCAGACATAGAGTTTGTGTCTTCCGTAGCTAATGGAGGATTATTTATTACATAATTGCATACAGATAGTCATGTGTTTCCTTGGAGTTATTTTCTGCTATTTTGCATCATTACAATTATGGGTCGAGTTGTCCTTCTTGACTTCACTTCAAAAAGATCCAGAACAAAAAAAGAAAAAAACCCCATAAGTTCTAATAAAATCAAACTTCAAGAACTGAGAGAAATTAGTTTTAAATAATGCTTTATAATTCTCCTTGTAGTTTTGCAAACATTTTCTAAATCTTTTGAAAAATCTGTTGTCTTGCCTAACCTTTTCTTGTCTCTCCCAGTCCCCTCTTCCCACTTGCCATCCAGCACATGCAGGGAATCAAGGTGTTCCACCCCACAATATGCCACTTTGACGTCAGGATTGTTTTGAGTTGAAGGAAATTAACTCTCTGCCCTCCCTCTTTCTGTGCAAAAGGAAGACATAAATTTTCCTTTGTAAAAGCTACCACAAATTTCATTTAGAAAGATGTCTTCCATCTACATTAAAAAACATATTTTTATTGAAGTATAGTCAGTTTACAATGTTGTGTCAATGTCTGGTGTACAGCACAATGCTGCAGTCATACAGGAACATACATATATTTGTTTTTCATACTCTCTTTCACCACAAGTTACTACAAGATATTGAATATAGTTCCCTGTGCTATATGGTATAAATTTGTTGTTTATCTATTTTTTATATATTAGTTAGTATCTGCAAATCTTGAACTCCCAGCTTATTCCTTCCCACCCCCTTAAAGCTGTCTCCTTTTCCCATACATGGAAGAGGAGGAGGACTCAATCACCGGAGATGACTCTTATCAATGGAGAAAGCACAAAGTTGAGTCTGCATAATAAACCTTCCTAAATAACCCTTATCTTTAATGATTTCCTCCTATACATTTAGCTGCCTACAATTTACAACCCCTAGAAGCTCCAACCACCCACCTTCCTTTGTCCAGTTATTTTCCCGCAATTTATTGCCCTTTGTTAAAGTGGTATATAAGCCCCCAGGTCTAACTGCTTCTTTGGGGGCTTCATTTCCTTTCTGTGAGGCCTCCTGTGTGCTTTTGTCAGTTTAATTTTCAGACCCTAGTAGCAGAACCTAAGAGAGTAGAGGAAAGCTTTCCTCCCCTACACACAGTACTAGGCATATGAGAGTTTTTTTTTCCTAAATCAGTTTACAGGGTGATTGATTAAGTGTAAAATATTTATTGGACTTTTTGGAAAAATCAATACAGATGTTCTTTTAAGCATTTGTATTTAACTCTACCCCATAAATAATACTTCTGACAGAAGTTATTTTAGCATATTGAGTTAGATATAATTTAAGGGAGGCAGAGATTTATACACACAACTGCGGAAAACAGATTGCTGTGCCAGCCTGGCACCAAGAAGACATGTTCCACATCACACCCAAAGATTCGAGAAGCTAAGAATTGTGACCTTTTCTCAGCAGACACTATGTGCTATGTCCTATGGCAGAGGTGGGGATGGTTCAGGGACAAATGAAGATGGCCTTGACTATCAGGGGGCCATACTTTAGGCAGGAATCAAGATGAAACCCCAAGCCACGTTGAGAGAGCAGTGTGAGCCGGTGCTGAACGGTGTGGGCTAGGAGCTGGGTGCAAGAGCTATCAGGGAAGGGAGGATTCAGAGTCACGATCAGAGGAACTTGAAGGGTTGTAAGGCAGATCTTGGACTTGAGCTGGACTCTGAAGAGACGGGTTATTATTTGAATGGAAAAGAGAAGCAGGGAGGGAATTCGAGGCCGTATGGGCGAGGGCACAGAGGTGGAAGCTGACAATTTCTATGAGCCCCCAAAAGAAGCTAATAGAAGGGAAGCACTGGGAAAGCAAGTACCTTGTCTTCCTTGTTTACTGCCCTGCCCCCAGTGCCGAGAACAGTGCCTGGCCCGCTGGAGGCATCTGCTATTAGCTGCATGAATGAATGAATACACTGCTACTTTTTAAAAACTATAAGCAGAACACAGAAGGAATTGTCTCAGGACCTTTCTCTCTGGAGCACAGAAAGGCAAGGCATGCTTCTGGGGGCCAGAGATCAGCTCTGGGGTACTAGGTGACAGACACTCAGCACCTCCTGGGTGGGTGGCAGATTGTGTCCAGAGCTGTTACTCTGAGGTTTCGAGTTGGATGGTGACCTGGCCCAGGTTCAAAGAACTGAAAAAGGGAACGGGAGGTAAGGAAAGTAAGATGGGGCCTGATTCCTCTTTCCGACCCATGTCCGTATGTTTTGGATGCTAGGAGTCTTTTTCTTTTAAATAATTTACAAGCCTGTCGAATGAGGTGGAGGAGGGAGAAAGAGGTAACATGGATTGAACATCTAGTGTGTGCCAGGCATTTTCACTTCTGTAATTTAATTCTCTCAGAGAATAAATGAGATAAGCATTTTTGAAATTGTGATAGAAAAACACATAATGTAAAATTTACCATCTTGGCCATATTAAAGTGTGCAGCTCAGCGGTGTCAAGTATATTCACATTATTGTGAAAAACATCTCCAGAACTTTTTCTTCTTACAGAACTCTTTCTTCCTCTCCTCCCTGACCCAAGACCTTGGTAAGCACCATTCTACTTTCTGTCTTCATGAATTTGACGATTCTTTGTGCCTCCTCTAAGTCTAGTATTTGTCTTTCTGTGATTGGCTTATTTCACTTAGCATAATGTCCTCAAGGTTCATCCATGTTGTAGCAGGTGACAGGATTATCTTTCTTTTGAAGGCTGAATAATATCCCATTACATTGACAAACCATATTTAGTCTCTTCATTCATCCATTGATGGCCACTTGTGTTGCTTCCCCCTCTTGGCTATTTTGAATAATGCTGCTGTGAATGTGAGCATAGAAATGTTTCTTTGAAAGACTGCTTTCCATTCTTTCGGTTACATGTCCAGAAGTGGAATTGCTGGATTAGGTAGGCATTTTTATCCCCATTTTATGAATGAGGAAACTGAAGCCCAGGGGACTCCTGTAACTTGCCCAAGGTGCCACGGGCAGAAGGCTGCAGAGTGAGGTCTGACCCTAGCCTCTAGCCTCTGCCCGCTTCCATCCCCTTCTGAGGACCAGCCTTATCCGTATCATTGAAGCACATACCCAGTTTTGACTTGGAAAATTGGGGATTAATTTATGCACACTCTTGGCAGCAGCTGATTTTCGAGTTTACATAATTGGAAACGGGAGAAGACTTTGAGCTCCGTTTGATCCGAGGCTCAGGTTGCACAAGTGCCTGACAACCATAAGTTGGTTGAATTCTTTTCTGGACAACAGATTCCAACACGGTTCTGCATTTGCTGCAGTTTTGCGTTAATTAAACGCTAACGGAAGCCCAGGGTGGATTAGAATTAGCTGACTGGGGATCTATTTATAGTTCCTTAACCTTGGGCCTGTCAATATCCAAAACTAATTTTAACCTGGGTTGTTTTAACCATGAAGTTGCAATTTATGCCAGTTACCACATTGCCAGACAGTTTTAAATCAGTTTTAATATTTTAAATGGAATTTTCATCAAGTCTGATTTTGTAGTGGTTCTGAGTTTCAGATGTGTGTGGAGAAAAGAAATAATCTCTTTGTTTACTTTCTAACCCCGTTGTCCTTTCTTCTTCTTCGGCTGACATGTGGGATTTGTGTGGTGTGGATGGGGGGTGGCTACTGGGTGTGTGTGAGAGAAGAGGTAGGAAGAGGAAGAGGAGGGGAGGACAGGGAAGGTGGAGGAGAGCTGTAGAATGGTCTTACATCTGCAGCCCCCTAGCATGACTGTTACGGACTGAACTGTTCTTCCTCCAAATTCGTATGTTGAATCCCAAACCCCCATGTGACTGTATTTGGAGTGGGGTCCATAAGGTGGTAATTAAGGTTAAATGAGGTCACAAGAGAGGGTCCTGATCTGATAGGATTAATGTCCCGATTTAAGAAGAGACACCCGGGAGCTGAGTCTTTCTCCTTCTGCCAAGTGAGGACACAGCAGGAAGGGTCCTTCTTCAAGCCAGGAAGAGAGCTCTCACCACGAACTGAGCTGGTTGGCACCTTCATCTTGGACTTCTACCCTCTAGAACTATGAGAAATACATCTCTATTGGTTAAGCTACCCTGTCTAGGGTATTGTGTTATGGCAGCCTGAGCTGGCTAAGACACTGGCTTTGTCCCTCAGTCATCTGTTTGATGTTGTCCTTACAGATCAGCCTTTTGGGTAGAGAAGGGCAGATCTAAGTCGGTTAAACAGACATTTGGCACAAAAGTTGAGAAGCACAATTCAAATTGCCCAGGGAAGAAGAGAAAAATCTAGATGTGTAGCATTCCCTAGCTCCCTAGGCCCTGATTGCATTTTGGAGGACTTTGGCCCATGGTTATATATATGTTTTTTTGGTGGGGGGCAGGGGGATTAGGGTTATTTATTTAATTTTTAATGAGGATACTGGGGATTGAAACCAGGACCTTGTGCATGCTAAGCATGTGCTCTGCCACTGAGCTATATACCCCGCTCCCCCACCATTTTTATATAAGTGGGCCCCTGGATTTTGGTCTTTCTTCACAAAGCTCTGAACTGGTCATGGTCTCTTTCAGTGATTTCATGATCAGGCTGACTCTCGTGATTAGGTGGTGGCTGTGTCAGTTACCACGATTTCTGGTAAAACAGGATGGCCTACGTTGCAATCTGACTGTGTTTCCTGTGCAATTATAGGCCTTAATTTTAATGAAACTATTTGGGGTTCATTATAATCAGTAGAGTGAAATGTGGTGGGTACTGTAGAATTTCATTTTGGTTAGGCATTGAAACCATACATGAACCTTTGGTTGCTCTTGGCTCTCATCTGAGGTCATGGGAGAATGTGGTTTCAAGTGGAAAAACTGCTTCCCTGGTATTCTGTTGTGAATGAAATACAGCTCTTTTGTGCATGAATGTTATTTAATTGCACATACAGAATATCTTCTACGTATCACTGCTGACTTGAGTCTTTCTTTTCTCATTAGTCGCACAATCCAGGAAATTGAGAATCCTCCTGTGAAGCATGTGAATGCTCTTGTGAAGAAGGCCTGGTTTGGCAAGATGGCTTTATGCACGTAGACATGTATATCCTTGGAGAAGGACACAGGGCCTGGTTGTATGGCATGACTGGCCTCTTGAGATATCTTTTATGAAGTGTAATATGGGAGGGAAGTTGACTTGCACCTTTAAATACTGGTCTTTACATCAGTTTCACTAACTTATGTAGCAGATAGACGATATGCTTAATTACTCAGCTATCCAATAGTCTTAATATATTGGATTATTAGACAGCCTACCTTATTTTACCTTCTGTTACTTCTGTGATTTTATAGCAGTGTGTTGGGGCTAGATAAAAGTGAATGGAGAAATGCTGTGTCTTAATTAGTAAATTAAAGAATATATGGGTTCTGAGTTATGAGTTTCTGAAATCAGATTGCCTGGGCTTGAATTCTGGCTCTCCATTTGCCTAGCTGTTAGACCTTAGACAAGCTATCCTCTAAGACTTAGTTCTCATATATAAGAATGAGGAAAGCTATATCAGTTAGAATTAGGTTTAAAAGTATAAACCAAAATCCCAAATAATAGTGGCTCAGTCACATATGAATTAATTTTTCTCTTGTATAAAATAAATCTAGTGGTAGACAGGCATGGCTAGGATGGCAGCTCCGTGATTTTACCAGAGACCCAGGTTTGTTTTATCTTTATCTTCTGCCATCTTTAGTTTGTGGTCTCCATCCATAAATTACAAAATGGCAGTTGGTGCTCCAGCCATCTCATCTAAATTCCAGGCAGCAGGATATATAGGAAAAGTCAAAGGGGCACATGCCTTTAGTCTGTCAACCTGCCTTTCTGCAAGCTTTACTCAACAACTTCTGGTTTTCATCTCATCGGTCACTTTAGTTGGGCACATCGATGTTTTATAGAAAATAGGCGCTCTTCTAAGGAAGAAAGGGAGACTAGCTCTTGGGCAGGCAACTTTCATGTTTTGTCACAGGAGATGGAGACAGACACACCTTTGTGAAGTTGATGATAAATCCACATAAAAGTATTTAGCAAAATGGCTGGCACTTGGGAAGGACTCATGGCACCCAGTATGTCATTATTATCTAATTATCAGGCAATGAGACTTTTATAAAGGTAATCAAATCGAACGTTTTATTTATATGCTTTTGCCTTCAAAAGTAGTTACCTTGGAAGGCAACATAGCATTTCCGTTAACTTTCTATTACTGCCGTCAGAAATAGCTTCAGAGCCATTTTCTCTTTATACAAGAACAACGGCTCTGTTGGTTACTCTCACCACCATCACCTTCCTCATTATTACAGTCAATGAAATTAGCTTCAAATGACACTTCAAGGATGATGGTTGCTGACTGGTAAGAATATGTTTAAAACGTTTAGCAAGTTCTATAGGGAATTCTGGTTCAATTATCTCCTATTTCCAGAAGCCAGACTCCCATCTTTCCCAGACTCAGGGGAGATATTTATATGAACATAAGTGAGGAAAGTATATATAAATATGTCTGCACTAACTGTGAAGATTAGTGCAATCTAAAGTGCATAATATGCTTTGTATTAAACTTTGGTAAAGTATTTGTAGTAATTTATGCTTACAGATGAAATGGAGTTTTGTTTTGTTTTTTTTTAACCTGTGAGTAGGACTAGTGAATATTTTGGTAAGATTAAAACTTTATGAACACGTAAGTCTTGTTTACATACTAAATCATGCCATGGTTTTCATAAAGTAGACTCATTTTATACATTCCATTAAAGACTAAAAACTTGTCATGATGTAAGTTTTGGTCATTTATGAGTCAACTTGTGGGGATATATTACATTATAAAGTCTAGTCTATCCTGCTATGTTTTCTACTCTGGCATCATTAAATCTAAGATATAGAGGTAGCCTCAGATGTCACCTGGTCCAAATTCTTATTTTATAAATGAGGAAACTGAGACCCAGAATTTGAATGACTTGCCTAAGATCTCATAGGTTACATGTGACAGAGCAGGTCCCAGAACTCAGCTCTTCTAGGTCCCAATAGCAGGACTCTTTCCCTGTACCAGATTTCTTCTTAATCACTTCAGGCTTGACCTTGCTCTGTTTCCTGCTCCTGGGGCAGAGAAGATGAAACACTGTGTCTGGGGATTGTATCTGTGCCTCTTAAGTGTAGTGAGACAATGACCACTGCTTCTTCATCAGTATCCTTTCTTCTCTCCCTTCAACAACTCCCAGGTTTGTGCTGGGCACTCAGCTACCCAACCAGACTACATATCCCAGCCCCCCTTGCATCTCAGTTTGGCCAAGTGACTATTCTTGCCAATGGGGTGTGAGTGAGTACAGCTTCTGTGTCATACCCTGTTCCCCATCCTCTTTCTGCTGGTTGGGAATGGTGAGACTGGAACAGACACTATGGACTCAAAAGATGGAAGCCACATATTAAGGATGACAGAGCTGCCCTCCTAGCTTTGCGTGGTCTACCTCCACCTCTGGACTATTACATGTGGCAAAAATAAAGTTCTCTCTTTGTTTCGCCACTGTGTTTTAGGGTCCTCTTGTTACAGCAGCTGTGACTGTACCCTCACTGATACACTCAATATCAATCAAACAGTCCTGTGCTATCGTGGGAAGCAGACTTCTCCTTTTAACTCCAAGTTGCAGTCCACCAAGGTCAGTTTGTTTGTTTGTTTGTTTATAGCAGCAGAGCCCTATCCTTCTTTTGGTATTATTTTGTTTTGTTGTGGGGAGGGAGTTAATTAGGTTTGTTTGTTTGTTTGTTTGTTTGTTTAAAACAGAGGAACTGGGGATTGAACCCAGGACCTCGTGCATGCTAAGCACGCATTCTACCACTGAGCTATACCCTCCCCCTACCAAGGTCAGTTTTGCTGTGGCTCAGATTTTAGACTTAGACACTTGTTTGACATCAACCTAAGAACATTCTTGCTCCCAGGTAAACTGGCTCACTAGAAAGATCGTTGACCCGGGGAGTCTGGCCGAGGGTTCTAATGTTAGCTTGCAACTCACTTCCAGAATGCCTCCATAGCTGTTTGCTTCCTTAGTTATAGAATGGAGATTATATCGTTCATTTATCTCTCAGGGTATTATGAGTAACACTTCATAAAAAACGGTTGTAAAACATCTGGCAAATGCGAGCCCTCTGCCTGTCATACTGAGCTAATACAGTAGCTTTCTTGGCACCCTGAATCTCTAATGATTTATAGATAGGCCTCTTTTACTGAAGGGGGCTTGACTTTGGCATGATCCGCCTGAGCTGATGAACTGCCTCTAATGTGATCTTTAGAACTCAGTGGAAGTGTCATCCTTTCCCTTACATCCTTGTTTAACAGCCCCATGATGAAGAAGGCATCAGACCTACGGAGGGGGGAACTGGGGGGCCCCTGGTTGGCAATTCTATTCTTTTTCCAGAAGGGGTGTTTGCTTCCATCCTCTGGTGATTGCTTGAGCCTAGAAACTTGCTTCAGAAACCCTTCTTATGTAACCAACCTCACTTTGCAAAAAATACACCAAGCTAGGATCATGCACTGGTATTAAAAGAAAAAAGAGCCTCGTGACCTGTACAATTCCTGTGTTAAGTCCATGTCACATACATATAATAGCTCATTGTGATGGCTGAACTCAACTTCCAATATTCCACCTTGGAGACTGTTACTTAACTAGATGACTCTTGACCCTTTTACTTCAGTACTTTTAGAAGTTTGCCAGAAAGTGTTCTCTTGTGCCAGGCAGTCCTTAACATTTCCCTCTGGGCAGCCTCAGCTCTTCTGTTATGCTACTTTCGACTATTAATCCGTTTTTTTATCCTAAGCATCTCGATAAGGCAGAGATCTGGAACACTTTCAAGACCAGACCCCTTTTTCTAAGAGGCATAAATCTGTTAGAGTGTAGAAATAGTATGAGAAAACAGTCCAAGCACATTTTTAAAGTAAAGTGGGTGTCAGGACAATGAGAGAATATTGTCACAATGATAGATTGGCATGGAGATAATTGGTTGGTATTGAAACCCACTTACCATGTTGGCATTCAAATGTAATGTTGGGATGAAATTACAAGGCGGTTATCTTTTTTTTTTTTAATTGAAGTATGGTTGATTTGCAATGTTGTGTTAGTTTCTGGTGTACAGCAGTGATTCACTTATACACCAAGCTAGGATCACACATTGGCATTAAAAGAAAAAAGAGCCTCATGACCTGTACAATTCCTGTGTTAAGTCCATGTCACATTACAGGTTATTACAGCTACTGAATATAGTTCCCTGTGCTATACAGTAGGACCTTGTTGTTTATCTATTTTATATATAGTACTTTGTATCTGCTAATACCAGACTCCTAATTTATCCTTCCCCCCTACTCTTTTCTCTTTGGTAACCATAAGGTTGTTTTCTATGTCTATGAGTCTGTTTCTATTTTGTAAATAAGTTCATTTGAGTCATTTTTTTAGATTCCACATATAAGTGAAATTGTATGATATTTGTCTTTCTCTGCCTGACTTACTTCACTTAGTATGATCATCTCTAAGTCCATCCCATTGCTGCAAATGGCATTATTTTATTCTTTTTATGGCTTAGTAGTATTCCATTGTGTATAGATACCACATCTTCTTTAACCAATCATCTGTCGATGGAAATTTATGTTGCTTCCATGTCTTGGCTATTGTAAATCACGCTGCTATGAACATTGGGGTTCATGTATCTTTTTGAATTAGAGTTTTCTCTGGATATATGCCCAGCAGTGGGATTACTGGATCATATGGTAACAAGGCAGTTATCTTTTAATGTGATATACTGCGGTATCACCAGTTTTAGGTGTTCTTTGAGATGGTGATGGGAGGAAGGCAAAGAAGAGAAGGAGAAATGAAGGGAAGTGATGATGCAGGATAGGAGATGGGGAAGGGAGGAAGGGTCTGGAATTCACACCTGCTCTATGCTATGAACGTTATGTCATTTAATCCTGAAGAAAATGATGTCATTGAATTCTCACAACAGCCCTGTGTGGTAGGTATTATCTCAAACATACAGAGGAGGAAGTGGGTTTTCAGAGAGACTGAGTAACAAGTAACATTCAGTTAAACAATGCTTGGAGAGAAAACTCTGAATCTACATTTACTGGATTCCAAAGTCTCTGCTCTTGCCATGATACCGTATTATCTTTCTGGTGAATGGAAATTATGCCGGGGAAGGAAAAGAATCCAGATAGTGGAGGCTGTTATCTCC